TAGTGAGGTTGGCCCAGGATCGGACATTGTTTCGTTCTGCTGTGCATGGGGTCGCTATGAGTCTGTTCTAACTCGATGGCACCTGACAACAACAACACATGATACTTTCAATATTCTACTCCAACACCATAATTCAATGTATCAATTCTTCTACATCTCCTTTATTCATTGTTCATCTTTCACAATCATATGAGATGATTGAAAATACCAAGGTTTGGGTAAGGCGCACCTTAGTCCTCAAACTGACATCTTTGCTCTTCAGCACTTTAAAGAGGCCTTATGCAGAAGATTTGCCTAATACAATATGTCATTTGGTTTCTTGACTGCTGTTTCCATGAGAGTTGATTGTGTGTCGAAGCAAAATGAAGTCTTTGACAACTTCAATCTTTCTTCCGTTCATCATGATGTTATTTACTGATCCAATTGTGAGGATTTTTGTTTTTTGTTTTTTTTTACATTGACATAAAATACATGATGAAAGCCGTAGTCTTTGATCTTCATCATTAAATATTTTGAGTCCTCTTTACTTTCAGGAAGCAAGATTGCATCATCTGAATATTGCAGGCTGTTCATGAGTACTCCTCCAATCCTGATGCTATGCTTTTCTTCATATAATACAGTTTCTCAGATTATTTGCTCTGCATAGAGATTGAATCAGTACAGTGAAAGGATATAACCTGGCACATACTTTTTTTTTTTTCCAAACCATTCAGTAGTTCCTTGTTGTATTCAAGCAATAATATAGGACAAAATAATGCCTTATTCATTTCTTGTGCTGCATTTACCTGCTTGTCATAATATAGTGGCTTGTGTGTTGCCTTAATACAGGAAGCTATGCCATGAGTATTTTAAATTCCAACAGGGTCACTCATGGTAGACAGGTTTCAGTGAACTCCCAGACTAAAATATATTAGGAGTAAGAAGAGTTCATGTCATTAAGGGCAACTCTACTTTCTGAATGGTTAGCCACAGAAAGCCTTATGAATAGCAGCAGAAGATTGTCTGATATGGTGCCAAAAAATGAGCTCCTTAGGATGGAAGGCACTCAAAATACCACTGGAGCAAAGCTACCTCCTCAAAGTAAAGTTGGCCTTAATGACATGGATGGAGCAATGCTTTGGGGACCTTCATTTACTGTTGGAGCATAACTCAGAACAACAAGAAGTAGCTTCAAACATCCATTGATAAAGGAATGTGGAATATGCAAAGTATGAATCTTGGATAATTGAAATTCATCAAAAATGGAATGGAATGAATAAAGATCAGCTGAAATGGACTATTGGCTATATTGGACATTTTGAATGAAACCTTCATATGGCATACTATACCAGGAATGACAAATAGAAGAAGAATGGTGTTGTATTAATTGACAAAAGGAGCATTTCAAGTATTATGCTCTCTGTGATAGGATAATATCCATACACTCACAAGGAAGACCAGTTTATACTACTATTATTCAAATGTACCCACCAACCATTAAAACCAAAGATGATGAAATTGAAGAATTCTACCAACTTCTTCAGTCTGAAACTGATCAACCATTCAATCAAAATGCACTGATAATTACTGGTGACTGGAATGCCAAAGTTGTAAATAGAGAGGAAAGATAGATAGTTGGAAAATATGGCCTCATTGGTAGAAATGATGCTGAAGATGGCATAATAAAATTTTTCAAGACCAATGACATATTAATTGCAAATACTTCTTCTTAACAACATAAACTTCGACTATACATGTGGCTTTTACCAAATGGAATATACCAGATTCAAATTGACTCCATATGCAGAAAGAGATGATAGAGAAGCTCAGTATCATCAGTGAAAACAAGGCTAGTTAGTGGTTGTCTATGGAACAGACCACCAATTGTTCAAATGCAAGTTCAGACTGAAACTGAAGAAAACTTAAACAAATCCAGGAGAGTCAAAATATGACCTTGAGTATATCCATCCTGAATTTAGAGACCATCTCAAGAAAAGATTTAAGGCATTAGATACTAATGACCCATGATCAGCAGACTTGTGTATTGATATCAAGAAAATCATAAATGAAGAAAACAAAAGGTCATTAAAAACACAGGAAAGAAATAAAAGATCAAAATAGATGTCAGAAGAGACCCTAAAACTTGCTCTTGAACATCGAGAAACTAAAATGACTAAAAGAAATGATGAAGTCAAAGAGATGAACAGAACATTTCAAAAGGCAGCTTCAAGAAGACAAAGTAAGTTATCATGATGAAATGTGCAATGACATGGTGTCAGAAAACTCCAAGGAAAGGATATGCTCAGCATTTCTCAAGTTGAAAAGCTGAAGACAACATTTGAGCCTTGGGTTGCAATATTGAAGGATTTTATGGGCAAAATATTGTATGATGCAGAAAGCATCACAAGAAGATGGAAGAATATATGAGTCATTGTAACACTAATGAAATTCAATGTTCAGTCTTCTCAAGATGTACCATATGATGTAGAACAGATGGTATCAAAAGAAAAAGTCCAAGCAGCACTGAAGGCATTGAATAAAAACAAGACTTCAGTAACTGATGGAATACAAATTGAAATGTTTCTACATACTGATGTAGATATGAAGGTGCTCCCTCATCTATGTGAACAAATTTGAAAAACAGCTACCTAGCCAACTGATTGGAAGACATCCATATTTGTGCTCATTCCAAAGAACGGTGGCCTAATGGAATGCAGAAATCATCAAACAATATCTTTGATATCACATGCAAGCAAAATTTTGCTGAAAATAATTCAGAAACAGTTGCAGCCATGCATTAACTGGGAGCTGCCATAAATTTAAAAATGGATTCAGAAGAAGACGCAGAAGTAGGGATATCATTGCTAATATCAAATAGAGCTTGACTGAAAGCATAGTGTACCATAAAGATGTTCACTTGTGCTTTATTGACTATGTAAAGACATTCACCTGTATGGGTCATAGCAAACTATAGATAACATTGTGAAGAATGGAAATTCCAGAGCACTTATTTAATTGTACTCATGAGGAACTTGTATATAGACCAAGAGGCAATAATTAGATCAGAACAAGAAAAGTGTTCATCAGCATTATATACTTTCACCATACTTATTCTATCTGTATGCTGGATTATATGAAGAATATAATCTGGAAGTTGGATTATATGAAGAAAAACATGGCATCAGAATTAAAGGAAAACTCATTAACAGCCTGCAATATGCGGGTGACACAACCTTGATTGCTTGAAGCCAAGAGGACTTGAAATAATTAAAATCAAAGACAGGAAGTTTTCAGTCTTCAGTATGGATTGCATCTCAATGTAAAGAAAACAAAAACCCTCACAAATAGACCAGTAGATAACATCATGATGAGCGGGGAATGATTGAAGTTGTCAAAGACTTCATTTTGCATGAATCCATTATCAGTGCTCATGGAGCAACAATGAAGAAATCAAATGATGTATTATTACAATGGGCAAATCTGCTGGAAAAGACTTTTCTAAAGTATTGAAGAGAAAAGACATCACTTTGAGAACTAAGGTGCACCTGACCCAAGCCATGGTATTTTTAGTTTTCTATTATTCATGTGAAAGTTGAGAAGTGAATTTTAAAAATCATAGAAGAATTGGTGCATTTGAATTATGATGCTGGAGAAGAATATTGAAAGTACCATGGACTGCCAGAATAACAAACAAATTGTCTTAGAAGAAGTACAGCCAGAATACTCCTTAGAACAAAGGATAGTTAGACTTGGTCTCTCGAACTTTGGACATGTTGTCAGAGGGTCAAGTCCCTGGAGAAGGACATTATGTTTGGTCAAGTGGAGGGTAGGTGAAAAAGAGGAAGACCCCCAAGGAGATGAACTGACATAGTGGTAGCAACAATGGTCTCAAACATAGCAACAATTGTAAGGATACCAGAGAACCTGACAGTGTTTCCTTCTGTCGTATATTGGGTCCCTATGAATGGTAATCACTCAATGGCATTGAATAACAATAGAATGGTTAGTGGGATTTAGAAGAATTGATGATTTTGCGTTATGGTATTGAAGGAGATTATTGAAAGTGCCATGAGCTGCCAAAAGAACAAACAGATCTGTGTTGGAAGAAGTGCAGCCAGAGTGCTCCTTGGAGGCCAGGATGGCCAAATTTCGTGTCTCATACTTCAGACATATTGTCAGGAGGGACCAGTCTCTGGAGAAAGATATCAAGTTTGGTAAGGTGGAGGGTCAGAGAAAAAGAGGAAGACCCCCAGTGAGATGGATTGGCAAAGTGGCAGCATCGATGGGCTCAAGCAATTGTGAGGTTGGCTCAGGACTGGGCAGTGTTTCGTTCTGTTGTGCATAGGGTTGCTATGAGTTAGTACCAACTCGATGGGACCTAACAACAACAACTTTATTTAAACTTTCTATGACTTCTCTATTTGTAGGTGCTACTCTTGCTTTACGGACCAAATTTTCAGCCAGCCAGTTTTGGGATGACTGCAGAAAATACAATGTCACTGTCATTCAGTATATCGGTGAACTGCTTCGGTATTTATGCAACTCTCCCCAGGTAGTATTCTCCATATTTCAATAGCGTGTTCAAATGGAGAATGTGGGAATTCGAGTCTCTTTGGGTTATGCTAGGCTTCAGTTGATTTGTATAGCTCTGTTTTGGGTTAGGTTAAAATTGCCTTTCATGATGAAGTGGTTTGCACCACACATACCTCTTGGCCTGTTTTCACATTTTTTCTACCTACTATATCATCCACATCCTTCTCTGGCTGCTAAAAACTTGTCAATGTCCAATTCAAATGATACCTTATATATTAAACCTATTTGAGTCACTCCAACACGAATCATTTCTCCCTTCTCTCATTTTATTTATACCTCACTGTGACCTTTGTCCTAGTGTAGGTGTTTGGTTTCCTGTCTTCCATTTCCCCTGGGCTGTAAAGCCTTTGAATATAGAGACCACATCATGTCTTTTTTTTTTTTTTTTTTATCTCTTATATAAAGCCATGGAGTAAACTTTTACTTAATGTTGTTTAATGACACATCTCTATGTCATTTATGTCAAATCAATTAAGTGCTTCACAAAGTTTGGAACAGACCCATCAAGGTAAATCCAGGGTTTTTCAATTCACCTTGTTAGCAGACATCAGATATTGTTATGGGCGTGTTCACAAGAACTCTTCCTTAAGAGATCGGATGACCTGCCTCCGGACTAGAGTAGGGTTTCTCAATAGTGACTTTGCTAACATTTGGGGTCTGTTAATTCATGGCTGTGTTTATTGTAGAATGCGTAGCTGTGTCCTTGACTTCTACCAGTGAAATACAATGTTTGTCCTGCGATTGACTAATTTCACTCAGTATAATGTCTTCCTGGGTCATCCATGTTATGAGATGTTTCCTAGAGTCACCATTATTCTTCAACATAAATAATGGAATTTTCCATGAACTTTTAAAAGTCCCCTTGTATGAGGCCTGTCTCCCCTAGTTAAATAAAAGTTCTATTCAATCAGGGGCTGTGTTCAGTAGCACTTCCCCAGCCCTGAAAACCATATTTGGCACATCATAGGCACTCAACAAATTTTGCTGAATGAACGAACCTCTAAATTCTTGCCTCTGAAAAATGTATAATTAAGCTGAGGTAGTTAAATGTTTGTATTTGGCACATATTATTCTGATGTTTTGGGCAGACACCACACATTCATGACCAAAGGTCATAATTAGCTGTGAGCTGGGTAGGAACCTTTTTCACAGCAAGTCCTCTTGATGTCGTTATTGAATTCTCTTCACAATAGTATTCCACCTGGTCCTAAGATTGCATGCCTCTCTATTAAGCCTCAGAAATTCATGTGGGGTCTATCTGTTTGACTTTTCTTCTCTGTCTTAAAGGTACTCCCTGGTCAGAAGTCTCCTGGGGAGCTCATATTGTTTCTGTAAATTCTAGAGGACCACCTTTGGACTTGAAGAAGCAAATATGTTTGTGCCTAGCTCTCTTCAGACTCACATTCTCTGTCTCAGGCACACACAGACATTTAGACCTTTCTTCTCTTTATGTTGTCTCTAAAAGATTTTGGCAAACAAAGACACATTCAGGGTTTTACATCCTCAAAAAAAAATTTTTTTTTAATTTTTTTATTTTATAGTAAAGCATATTCCCAGGCAACCTGAGGAAACAGGGAACCAGCTTCAGCCTTCTCTTTCCCTTCTCTTTCCCTTCCCCAATGTTAGATTCATTGTCTTGATTCAGCCTCTGACTTACCTTGTAACCTCTGATTCCGTCTGTTACATAGAGAAATGATCAAGATTCTCACTGGTTCTTCTAGGCCCCTACATTACTACTCTGTAATGATTTTATGGAAAATGGTTCTCTCTCACATTGGACTATGTTCCTAGTTTTCTTCATTGTTGTCTTGTGAAAACAGTTGTTTCAGTTGAAGAGGTGCTACCCAGAGTCCTATAGGCAATAGATTGGATCAGGTCTTTCCTATGAGGCTCCGACTTTCTGGAACTACACTGAAATTCACTAGCCCTTCAAGAAATTGATTAACACATTCTTCTAACTTAAGATTGTTGTTGTTAAGTGCCATTGAGTTAGTTCTTACCCATAATGACCCTGTTTAAGGTTTCCAAGAAGCTGCTGGTGAACTTGAACTGCCAACCTTGCGGTTCAAACGGCTTTGCAGTCTGGCACATTAACCGACAGCACCACACAGGACTCCCAACTTAAGATAGGATGTAGGTTAAATGGTGACATCAACTAATTTACCTGTTTGTCTGACCTTGTCCCTTAAAAATCAAAACGGGAAAATCTAGGCTTTAAGAACATTAAATCAGAGTTCTAGCTGTCAGACCACACTGTGTATGAGTGTGAGTGGGTTGTGGGTGCTGAGTATCTATGTGGATGGCAGAAAAGGCATGCACTAAGATGAATCTGTAACTAGTGTAAATATAGAAAATATAAAGACAATTACTAATATATAAGCACAGACTTATATTTTCAATCTTCTTCTTTCCCCTTACTACAGAAACCAAATGACTGTGATCATAAAGTAAGACTGGCAATCGGAAATGGCTTGCGAGGAGATGTTTGGAGAAAATTTGTCAAGAGATTTGGGGACATTCATATTTATGAGTTCTACAGTACCACTGAAGGAAACATTGGGTTTGTGAATTACACAAGAAAAGTCGGTGCTATTGGAAGAAAAAACTACTTACATAGGGTAAAATCCAAAGCAAAAGTAAACCCACTGCCAATTCTGACTCATAGTGACCTTGTATTGGGTTTCTAGGGCTGTATATCTTCATGGGAGCAGAAAGCCTCATGTTTCTCCTGGAGAATAGCTGGTGGGTTTAAAATTTGACCTTGCTGTTAGCAGTCTAGCGCTGCTTCAATCAAGTAGGAACTATGTATGTCTTCCTCATTCTCCACAAGAGGGCAAGATAATCAAACTCAAACTCAACCTAAGACTGATTCCTATGAGGTGAAGGTCATACATGCCTCCACCCTGTAACTTTCTTTACTCTATTCTGACACCAACCATCCCTCCCTCGGCACTCTCTGCTTCACATCAGGGTTCTACAATCCATGGCAGTGGCCACATAGAACTCATAATAATACTCATGATCATGGAGTTTATTAGGGAGGTAAACAGTACAATTCAGGATCAAAAAGCAACTCAGGATGCTGCAGTTCTCCAGTTAGGAACATCTCTTCTCTGCTATACTGCAGATATGCCTCGCTCTAGTCTTCAGCTTCTCTGCCACATGGGCCTAGAACACTCAGCTGCTCTGTCTCTCCATGCCACCATCTCTGCCATCCCCTCTGCTATCCCAGCTTTTCTGGGTAGGGATCCTACACTCTATTTATGCTCTTCCCTCTTGATGATCCTGAGGTCATCTGTTTCTGCTTCTGAGATGGCTCCTTTTAAACCTAGCTGGATGGCAAAACCAACCAATCTCAGCCTTAGAGTCCTGTAAACCTTATTTGCATGGTCCTACCCAGTCACTTGGTAGGAATTAAAGAAGACTTTGGATAGAAAATCCATATCAATGAAATTCAAGGTAGCACAAGTGCTTATCCTACAGCACCACCAGGGTTCCTACAGAGGATCAGTACAATGGAAAATGAGAGGATTTCTATAGCCAGTTTCATAATGATATCATTGTCAGAATATCCTGCAGCATCTGAGCCGCAGTTCCTCCATCTAACATTGTCTCTGGATGTATAACCAAGGGAAGTTGTACTCACTCTCTGTAACAATGATCTAAAAAACTCAGGGACCTCCACTTTAAACATCTTAATTAGTTTGTGTTCATCACAACGCATTATGCTTTTGCCATCTGCAAATTATGTGATGTTTTCTTCATGTCATCTCTACTTGGAGATGATAAGAACATCAACCAGTCAGCTGTCTGTGGTGGCTTGCATGTTGTTTTGAAGCTAGAAGATATGCAACTGGTATTTCAAATGCCATAAGGTATTTAAATGGTTCTTTCTCTTATTGGGTTATGTGCCCAGTTTTTTTTCATTGTTGTCAAGTGAAAATAGAGGACTTTTCATGATGGACAAGTTTCATCAGTGCTTCCAGACTAAGACAGACTAGAAAGAAGGAGAAATGGACTACTTCTTAATGGTTAGCCACTGAAAACCTTATGAATAAAAGTGGAACATTGTCAGATATAGTGCCAGAAGATGGAAAATAGAACCAGAATATTGTCACTTATAATGCCAGAAAATGAGCCCCTCAGGTTGGAAGGCACTCAAAACAAGACTGGGGAAGATCTGCCTCCTCAAGTAGAGATGATCATAATGACAAGAATCTAGTAAATGCAGTACCTTAATTGACTGATGGGGCACAATTCAAAATGAGGAGAAATAGCTGCAAACATTCATTAATAATTAGAGCATGAAATGTACTAAGTATGAATCTATGAAAATTGGGAATTGTCAAAAATGAAATGTAATGCATAAAGATGGATATCCTAGGCATGAGTGTGCTAAAAGGGGTTGATCCTGGCCATATTGAATCAGACAATCATATGGTTTACTAGGCTGGGAATGACAAAGTGAAGAAAAATGGCATCATATTCATCATCAAAAAAGTAATATTTCAAGGTCTATCTTGAAGTTTAATGCCGTCTGAAATAAGTTAGTAGCCATATGATTACATGGAAGACCAGTTATAACTGCCATTATTCAGATTTACATACCAACCACTAAAGCCAGTGATGGTAAAATGGAAGAACTCTATCAAATTCTTCAGTCTGAAATTGATCAAAGATGCAATCAAAATGCATTGATGATTACTGGTGATTGGAATGCAAACATTGGAAACATAGAAGAAGGATCTGTAGTTGATAAATATGACCTTGTTTATAGAAATGATGCTGGAGATCGCATGATAGAATTGTACAAAACAAAAGAACTATTCACTTCAAATGCCTTTTTTAAGCTACTTAAAAAATAACAATACACATGGAACACATCAGATGGAAAACACATAAATCAAATTGGCTATCTTTGTGGGGAAAAACAGTGGTAATGCTCAATATAATCAGCCAAAACCTTGCCAGGGGCACCTGTGGAGCAGACCTTTAATTATTCATATGCAAGTTCAGGCTAAAGCTGAAGAAAATTAAAATAAGTCCACAAGAGTTAAAAATATGAACTTAAATATATCCTACCCAGATTTAGAAACCAACCCAAAACCAGAACTGCTGCATTGTTGTTGTTGTTAGGTGCCATTGAGTTGATACCAACTCAGAGCAACCTTATGTACAGCAAAACGAAACACTGCCCAGTCCTGGGCCAACCTCACCATTGTCACCACACTTGAACCCATTGATGCTGCCACTTTGCCAATCCATCTTGCTGGGGGTATTCCACATTTTCTCTGACCCTCCACCTTACTAAACATGATATCCTTCTCCAGCAACTGGTCCCTTCTGACAATATGTCCAAAGTATAAGGGATGACCTTTGGCCATCCTGGCCTCCAAGGAGCACTCTGGCTGCACCTCTTCCAGAACAGATCTGTTGGTTCTTTTGGCAGCCCATGGCACTTTCAATATTCTCCCCAAACACCATAACTCAAAAGCATCAATTCTTCTATGGTCTTTCTTATTCACTGTCCAGCTTTCACATGCATATGAGGCTATTGAAAATACCATGGCTTGGGTCAGGCGCACCTTAGTCCTCAAGCTGACATCTTTGCTGTTCAACACTTTAAAAAG